GCAACTTATGTGTTAGGTATACGATTACTTCTTATAAAAGAGAGGTTTCAAGAAGGATATCGAGTGTTATAAACTCTCACCCAATGCATCTAAAGATGAAGCAAAAAGAGCTTACCTATTGTAGAAGCATCACTATCTCTACTATTACTAAAATTTTATCAGTTTCGTACATCAAAAAGATTCCAGAAACATAGTTTAAAGGTTGCCTCTACTATTTATGGAATTTGATAGTAATATTTTTATGGATTTTTCTTTCAATAGGACTAATTAAATTCAATATGACATTGTAATAGATTTTGATTAAAAAACAACGAAATATAAACATTACATTAAACAACGCACCATTTAACATGACATTAAGGATATCAAAACAAGGAAAATAAACATTACATTAAAGAACAAACTATAAACAGAGACATACAACTTTTCTTATTGATGTTTCAATCTCAATTACGTTGGAACCATGCTTTCAGGTCTTCATCATCTATCTCTATTTTCCAAAACTCATTTTTCTTAGTTCGTTGGATATTTTAACTGGAAGCAACATCCTCAACATCATCAAACTCTACAAAAAACATCTACATGAGATACAAAATGAGAATATTATGTCTCAATCATACCAGAAAGGTCGACATCATCGCTTAAGAAAACCTCATGGATAATAGTGGCAGTCTAAAATATAACGAATATATTTTTCTTTTCATTCTGAGTTGAATCTTTCTTTCTATTTTAAACTTCAACTCCTCTAGTAGATTTTTTTAAAAGGCATACTTAAAAATTTGCAATCATAAAAAATAGTTGCAAGAATAGTAAATGTTTTTCCTTTAAAACACTGAAATATTTATAGATTTTTTTGCTTCAGTGAGACTCAAATAGATTGAGTTCACACAAATTTATAGGCCCTCAGGAAGCCTTCTAGAATTATTGAGTTTGTTTTTTTCTTAACGTAAACATTAAATAGAATAAAAACATAAAAACAAACATTACAATTAAAACAATTATATCACCGCAATAACTACAGAACATTAAATAATAAAAACATTACAGAAACAAAATATATAAAAAACATAATTCATTTCATTTGATAAAAACTAAAAAAATTAAATAAAAACATTAAAATTTAAATAATTCTATTGATGTCTCCTTATTGAATATGTTCCACAAGGCGGTGGTTGTCTATTTCGATGAGGGTTTCTTCTTATGGGTCGTTATTCCTCTTCTTCATCATCAGCAGTATCAGCGACACCAGCTACATTTTGTTGATAAGGGACATATGATGATGTAAGACATGTATAAAATAAAAATTATAGAAGTGTATGACTAACCATCCCACCGCTAATAGGGAACTGTGAAAACACTGACATCAATGCCTGATATCCATACTGAGGTAGAGGTGCATGTGGTGGAGCACCACCCACCAGATAAGCAACATATGAAGCCCATGTTAGATCTATATGCATGGCAGTATAATATCCGCCAGGAGGTGTTATAAAACCCTATGAAGTCTATATGTAACAATACGGTGGTGGCATCTAAATTGGCGGTTATGGCATCTGTGGGTAATGTAGTGACATCTTAACCAGCAGTGTAGCCATGTATACTGGCAGGCTGGGAATGTAAACTGGTTGTGATGGTGGATGATGTGATGATTCCAATGTTGTAGCTGAGGATGAGCTGAAAGCACTTGTTCTTCATTCATGAGTCGGGGAACGATGATAATGTGACAGTGGATGCTTTTCTCAGCACTGATGAATTATCCCGTATCGTGCTTCCTCGAAAAGTATGAACAATTCTCGTTCATGTTGAACCATGAAAATTAGTCATCCATAACCGAATGATGAGTTTCAAGCATATACTCCCAAGAGGGAATCCGTTGATGCCTATCCTCCCACACCATTATCCACTCTCTGTGCTTTATCACCCAGTTGACCTCTTTTTTGCCTCGTCTATCAATGTTATGCATATTGTCAAGATTCATAAGTGCTCCAAGAATATATTGTACACAACCAAATTGACGGAGCACATGAACAATTGTATGTCACTTGACAATAGCAAAACATATAAGAGGCACAACTGCCATCCATACATCTAATAGCCCACTCAAGTGAGGTGGGAGGGAAACCCTTATTTCATCCGTCAAATAAGGAGGCCATTGGAACTATAACTAAAATATATACTTCTTATCAAACTATTATTCTAATTATATGACGATAATTAAAGTTAATTATTAAAATTTAAATATTTATGTCTGTACAAACTTTTTGATCAATGAGTAAGCAAATTTCTTCCAATTCATTAGGTATAACGCGATGATTTTTCCTTTTTGATGACCACATGTTCAATATAAATTTTTTATTATATGCTCAAAAAAATTACTTACATACGAATTTAGCATTGAAATTACCTTAACAGTAACAGGAAGACAAACGGTTCATTTATGATTAGACATAAAAAGGGCATGCGATATCACGCCCGTGATTGGAGAAGAAGGAGATAATCTCCAATAGCAGTTTTTCAATAATCCGTTGCTCGACACATTTCTCTAAACTGAAATACTAAAACTGTGGAGCCCCAACTCAATGTGTCGGCTACTCGAAAATCAATGAGGTGACGTAACCACATACAATGAACTTGGTTGCGAGATTTGTCAGACATTAAGATCCCTCATATAACTCGTAATGTGTATGCTCTAGCAAATGCTTTAGCCTTATCCTATGAAAAATTTTCGATAGGAACAATTTTCACTCAACTATTGAAAATTTGATTGTAGCTATGCTAACGGTATTCGACCATTATTGAACTCAAGCGAGATACCTCTAAGATACTCATCGCACAACGAATGTCAATCACCATATGTCACACCACAAATAACTTCTCCATATACCAGAATCCCCAAATGCATGGAAACATCCTCCAGCTAATAGTGCACTCCCCACACGGAAGATGAAATGTGTGTGTCTCTGGTATCTACCTCTCAATTAGTGCAGCAATAAGAGTGGGTTCAAGTTTAAAATCTCCTTCATTTTTGGCTATGTAACCAAATCTAGCATCGGCTAAATATCTCCTGATAGGACGTGATTTGTCCATCTTAGCGTTGCGAATAAACAATTCTAATATATGATCATTCCCCTAATTAATTAATAGTCTACGAATTAAAATGTAAACTAATACTAAAAAAATTAATAAAATATTCACATAATTAAAATAACACAATTTAATATTTTTACTGTATCGACAAAATGACTTGAGATATAATTTGCATCCACTTACAACATCCCACCTTTCATTTTACAACTGCAAAAAGTAATAAAAATAATTAGTATAATAAAATATTATAAAAAATTAAATATTAAATAAAATAAAATAATAATATTTTTACCTTCTAAATACTATGAAAAAACCTACTTAAAGCTAGATTTAATAGGAAGAATAAGAGAGTAATATGATTTTGGGTGTGATTTGAGTATTGGATGATGGAGTATTTATAGGGGACGGAATTTAGGCGGAATTTTGGGTGGGTTAGTTAAAATTAAATAGAAGGCACACCCCTGCAACGTGCCTTCGACGTGGATTCAGAATCCCATGAAGGTGCATCCCCGAGAACGCATCTTCCCACCGTGGCGCCATATCAGCGAAAATCCTGAAAGGCGCACCCCTACAATGCACCTTCCCTCCACATGTACAAAGCGCATTTTTAAAACGCGCCTTATTATTTTTCTGTCAGAAAAGGTGTTAATTCGATAAAAATTATGGAATAAGTACTTGATCTTTAATATTATGAATTAAGGGTGAATTTTAAATAACAAACTTGTATTTTCATCATTAACATTATCTGAGTGTTATTTAAGTAAAAAGAATTAAATATATATATATATATATATATATATTTATTTATAATAAAATTACTTAAAAAGTACTGTCCACATTTTATACTTTGAAATTTTAATATTTTTAAAATTCAATAATTTTAATACACTATTATTTAAAGAAAAAATATGAAAAACCAAGAAGATTGGCCCATCATTAAAAGGCTTGAATCCAACTGAGCTTAAGCCAAGTTTTACTGTTTTAAAACGACAATCTCAGTCTCTTCTAAAGTCATCCCCATTTTTCTTGAAGTTGTTTAGATCTTCGCACGCGACGCAGTGAACCAAAAAAGGGTAACTAGGGTTTGATTGAAACAGGGAAAATGGCAATGAGAAAATTTTATAACGAGATAAAAGGGATGAAATTGAAGGAAGTTCCGAGCTATGTCAAGCCGATGCTCTGTTGGATTCGTGAAGAAAGCTGTTCAGAGGGGTTTGGACAATTACCATGCCAAATACATCGAGGCGGACTCCATCGAACCTCTTTACCATGTCTGCTTCGGTGGGATGGTCTTTTCTTACCTTGTCGCTCTTTCGAACGAGCGACGTCATCTCGAGCACAAGCAGCATGCCGAGCAATATGGCCATCATGGATTTAAATAGCGTCGCGGTAGTATTTTCGGTTCGCGGATATAACGGATATCATTGCGGTCACTACGGGTGTCGTGATCCTGAATTTTTTTTTAATTTCGCACAACTTATTATAAAACATAATAATTATAATTATAATTATAATTAGTTATTTTTAATGATTTTTAGAATATTTTATAAACAGAATGACATATTTAATTACACTAGTTTAACACTATAAAAAATGAATGTTGAAATTTTGAATGGAATTTGAATAAACTTAAAGAGTAAGACTAAATTAAATAGAATTAAAATAAAAGTATAAACTTAAAGAACACAAAATTAAGATTAAATTAAATAAAAACTAAAGTTTATATCTAAAGTAAAGATTAAATTAAAAATTCTAAAATGTAGAAGGATGACAAATTAATATATCTCTTAAAATTATATTTTAAAATTTATTTAAAAAAATGAGAAATGGTATGAACGGCCTAAATATATTTATTTTTTGAATTAAAACCCAAATATAATAATTAAAGAAAACTCCGAAAGCGTCCAGAAACTTTCTATCTCTCTAATTCTCCCTCATTTTTAACCTTTCCTTTCTCATTTCCATCTAGGGTCCACTCACCATATTCATGGTGGTGGAGAGAATTAGATCTAGGGATGAAAACTTTTTCTCTTCTTGATTTCTTGCATTCTCAAATGGAATCTAAAGCCTGTTATGCTCAATTTCTTCTCTGGTTTGATCTTTGCATGAATGGTGAGTCTTACCGGATGTGATCTCTGTTTTCTTTGTTTTTGATTTTTGGTTTTTAAGATTACAAAGCTTTTTTTATTTCTTCCTTCTCTGTTTTCGCTAGATGAGCATTGCTTTTTTTTTATTGAGATATCGGCGCTATTCACCATTACCTGTTAAATTGCAGGCGCGATTGACAGCTGTCGACGTGATTCTGCTACCCACCGCTAAATTCAGTAATATCGTTTTCGGATGGTGGCGTGACCGCGAAATAGCGGCCGCTATAGCACTAGCGGTCCGCTATTTGAAACCCTGGTCATCACTGATCCCATCTAGATACTCCTCATCTCTTTATTATTTGTTTTTTTTTTTGGAGGTTCATTAGTATGGATAGTCTTTTAGAATGAGAATTCATTTATCGTTGTTGACAAGCGGGCAAATTTGGTTTTAGATTCTTTATTTTCATGAATGCTGCTGTAATCGAGATTTTGGTCTGATCTTTTATCAATATAGATATCTACTTGTCCCATGGGCAGAAAAGCCAAGCAAATGTTGTTTAGTAGAGAATTTATATGTTTCATAAACTGTATAAGACTTAGGTGGCATTCATAGCATCCTTATTTCCTGTGCTGAGTCTGACTATATAAGTTTCTTAACAATGATAAAGGGAAACATCATGGCTGAAATGAGAAGATGGCATTTAATACATTTCTTGGAGTTTAAATTGCAGTGGGAAGCTTCTATGTTCGACACACTTGTAGTGTTTGCAATGTAATCACGTTTATTTGACAAAATGGGTCATAAGGGCTGTGTTCAAGTTCAAGTGATAAATATTTGTGTAATAGGTTCTTTTTTCCCTGCTTTTTCCCTTTCAGAGCAGTGGGGAGTTGAGAACGGTGGTGATAGGAACTTATTTGTGTGAAATTGGTCGTGTAGGAGATGAATTCCATCTCTATAACATAATTATTCCCTCGTGCTTATGTCTATGGGAAGTTGGTTTATTAAATGGTGTCAAGTTGTTCTCATACTTGAACGGTTCAACTATGCTTCCGTCCGTGCTTACCCTAAAATTTAATGTTGTTAAAAAAGTAGCAACACTAGCCAATAACAATACTTCTCACATTTGTTTATCCTTGTCATGTATGACATCATTTGCCACTTGCCAGGTCTCATGTTCTTATTGGTTGGCATTGTCAGCTGTTTTTTTTCCATGTTGTTAACCTTTTGAGGTAAACCGGGATGGAATGATAGTTTAATACCAAAGCTAACAAAGAAAAAAGAAAAAAGAAGTTTGGTACTAAAGTGAGAGAATGGCTATAGTTTGGGGGCTAAATTGAGTATTAAGACTAACAAATACCTACTGTTGCCATTGTGAATCATAACCATGCCTAATATCTGAAAACTCGTATTAGATTTATTCTGGTATATGCTACGGGTATCGATGATTTCACAATCTATTTTTGCAGATAAATGATGGTACGGGTTCTGTCGTGTCCATCTTGTGTTGATACGGTGACAATTGGATTTGCTTGATGCTTTTGGTTGTAATTTATGAGTACTGTGAGCAGGAAGATGGTGTCTTGATCGATGCAAAAATAAAGATACATATTGATTTACAGGGAGAATAACTACTACCTTCTAATAAACCGGCCATAAGGATTCAGTTCAAATCGGTTTTAGAAGAAAAAAATAAAATAAAATTGAACTGAATATTAAATTAATCAAAATAAATACAAGTGGTTCGGATCATTGGTCTTTAATTTTTAAATGTTATATACACACATTATATATATCTAATATTTTGAAGTTATTTTTATTAACTCTAAATATAAAATTTTATTTTGTAAGATAATGAAGCGTAAAGTGAAGAAATTATTATTAAATTATATTAAAATGATCTTTTTGATATTAAAATTTTGAAAATTATAGAATGATTATTAAATTCATCAAACTATTACAAAATAATCACTGCAAGCTATAAATAATAAAAAAATTTGATGAATTTGAGGATTGTTTTATAATAATTTCTTAAATGTTATGATCATTTTATAATTATTTGAAAATTTTAATAATTATTTTATTTTTTGAAAAATAAGGATAAACTACGTTTTTTATATTTAAATTATCAGTTTTGGCCCGTTTTAGTATTTAAACTTTTAACTTTTTTAAAAATCATAACTAACGTTTAGTTTTTGTTTCATTTTAGTATCGGCCGTTAACAGTTTCACGAGTTTAATACATAATCTATTAGTTTTTGTCCGTTTAATACCTAAATTTTCATTTTTTTTTCAAAACTTAAGATTAAAATTTGGACGAGGTATTAAAATGAAATAAAAACTATGCTTTATATATGATTTAAAAAAATAAAAGTTCAGGTATTAAAATGTTCTAAAACTAATAGGTTAGGTACTAAACATGTAATTTACCGAGAAATTAATATACTTTACCTTATAAAAAAACTTAGTTTTAAATTAATAAAAATAATATAAAATTCCATTCGATGTTGATAATCAGGGGTGAGCATTCGATCGAGTCGAGTCAAATTTTTTGAGTTATTCGAGTTGACGAGTCTTATTTTACAACTCGAACTTAACTTGAAATTCTTTCGAGTTGAATCGAGTTTAAGAAATTCGAGTTTAGTTAATCGAGTTTCTATGCTAATTTTATTATAATTATTTATAGTATTATGACAATGATTTATTACAATTTTTTGAGTTTATATATATATATATATATATTATTCTTTCATATTATAATATTATTTAATATATCAATTGTAATCTAAAATTATAAAATATATATATTTTAAAGAAAGTATAGTTTGATTTTTAGTAAACTGTCAAAATAGTCAAATTTTAATTTTTTTAGTAAAATTGAAAATTGAAAATTTCAACTCGACTCAAACTTAAAAACTAAATTTATAATTTGATTTGAATTGAATAAGAAATTAATTTTTTTTTGATTTTTCTGAGTCAAATTAAATTTTGAGACCTTAGCCGTAAATCCTCAATTTGAACCGAGTACCAAACTCGTAATTTGTCCTTTATTTTTGAAACGGTGGCGTGGCTCGATGCTTCTTTGTCCTTCCTCGACAAGCTATTGAAGCAAATGCAAGTGTAGCAGTGGTTTCAATGAAATAGCTAGAAGCGTTCTCTATCCCATCATCTAATCTAACAGCAGAAGAAAATCCCAAAAGGAGAAGATGACGGAGGAAGTTAAGTTGACCGTGTTAGCGAGCCTGTTCACATGGATCCAGAGGATCCGGCCATCAGCGAGGAAGCGTTCCAAGTTTCGAAAATTCCTCGACACCTTTTGCAAGCCTTCCGATTATTTCAGCGCCATGAGGCTCATTCTTCCCTCTCTCGACCGTGAGCGTGGCACTTACGGTCTCAAGGAGTCTGTGCTCGCCCTCTGCCTTATCGACGCTCTCGGCATGGCCAGGGACTCTCCCGACGCTCTGCGTCTTATCAATTGGCGCAAGGGTGGCGCCAACACCGGCGCCAATGCCGGAAACTTCGCTCTTGTTGCTTCTGAGGTTCTGCAGCGTAGGCAAGGCACGGCTTCCGGGGGACTTACCATCAAGGAATTGAATGACTTGCTTGATCGATTAGCTTCTGCTGAAAACAGGTATTTCATTTCTCTTTATTTAACCTAAAAATAAAAAGGAAATATTGCCATTCAATTATTTGCCTCTCATTCGCTTCTTATTTATTTTTACTTTCTTCATATGCTACTTGGAAAAGATGAATACTCGGAGAAGTTCACATGTAAACTCATATTCGAGCATGATTGTTTCATATGAATGTAAGAAGAAAAGGAAAGAAATTAAGAAATTTCAAAAATATTATTGACTTCAATAATGGGGTGTTTACCTCTTTTTTATTGAAAAGATTACTTTGGTAATCAAACACAGACTAAAAATTCGAAAGTTATGTTTGTTATTCGTGACATTGGTTCATGTAATATTCAACTATTTCCAATTCCTGGACGGTATTACGTGGCTTAAACTGGTTTCTCTCTGAAATCAAATGAGATTTCGACTTTTTGCTTCTTGAATAAAAAAGCAAGTAGAAGAAGCTAATAACTAAATCGACCCCAAAATGTTGTTGCATTATATTAAAATTCTACGTCTTTGACATCAGGGCCGAGAAGACTGCGATTCTTTCTACTTTGATTAATAAGACAAATGCACAGGAAATGAAGTGGGTTATCATGATTATACTAAAAGGTATAATGTGTAAGCATCTCAACTCATTAAGTTTTTTGTCCATGGTGAAAGCTTTGATCCCTATCTTGCTTTTCCTGCAGATCTCAAGTTGGGAATTAGTGAGAAGAGCATATTTCAAGAATTTCATCCAGATGCCGAAGACTTGTTCAATGTCACCTGTGACCTAAAATTGGTTTGTGAAAAGTTAAGGGACCGTAGCCAACGTCATAAGCGTCAGGTGCATTATATATGCTGATGCTACTTGTAGAATCTCTTTTAACTGCTTCCGTTGGGTTGAGTCTCTAAATACTTTATGGTCTTTTGTGTTCTAAAAAGATTTCATATCAGTTGAGGGACTTGCTGTTCTAGTCTGCTCTGTAATGAGTTTACAACAAATTGAGGGGAATTATATTAACATCTAGCAGCAGCTAATTTTTTGTTTAGGAAGCTCTTATCTTGTGTGTTTGGACCAAAGACAGTGAATGTCTATAGTGAATTAGTGATGGCTGAGCACCCTTTGCATTTATGCTTTTACTTCTCTTTTTGACGATTCCATCTTATTATTTCTTTTTCATATCTTTGTTAAGATTTTGTGTTTTGAAATCTTAAATCTGTAACTGCAAGGTAATTTATATTGAATAGGTCAGTGATAACATTCAATTTTAAGAAAGCCCAAAATTATTCTGAAAATGACAACTAAGCCCGAAGTGTTAGTTATGTATGTTTTAGTTAAACTTTAACATTCTATTAGCATTCATTTTGGTTAAATAATAACAATATGTTTTTTTTAAGTGACATTACTCATTTTGCAGGACATTGAAGTTGGAAAAGCTGTACGCCCACAACTAGCTATGAGAGTTCGTGATCCAGTTGCTGCATGGAAAAAGGTTTGGTTTAGCATAGTTAGCTCAAGGAACTACAGTTGGTCTTATCCCCAAATAGTCAGGAATGGAGGAGTGGCATTCATTTTGATTTTATTCATAAGGACATCATAATACAATCTTTTCCAGTGATTGTTGTTACTGTTAATAGTTCCTATATTCTCTTCACCAATTCTCTTTTGTTACTTTGCTTTATATTTTTTTTATATATTTTCTTATGAATAATCTGCAATTCTTTTCCCATTTCATAGCTTCATGGTAAGGAAGTTGTTGTTGAGTGTAAATTTGATGGTGATCGCATCCAAATCCACAAAAATGGAATAGAAATACGTTACTACTCCAGGTGAGCATATATATTTTATTTTAGGCTTAAGGGTCACCTTTGCCCCTGTAGTAGACCAAATTTATCATTTTCGCCCCTATCATATTTTCGCATCAATTTAGCCTTCAAAGTTGTTAATTGTATCATTCTATACCCTTTCCCTAACTTAAAACCCTAAATTATAAACCCTAAGTTGGTGTTTTGAGGTAATAGGGTTATGGTTTAGGGATTAGGGATTATAATTTAGGGGTAGGGTTATAGAATAATGCAATCGAGCAATTTCGAGGGTTAAATTGATGTGAAAATACGATAGGGGCGAAAGTAATAAATTGGGTCTACTACAGGGGCAAAAGTTACCCTTTGTCTTTTCTTTTATAAAGTTGTATTTGCCCCCTTCTCCTTTTGGTGCATCAAGGTTAGTGCAACTGAAGTAAAGAATAGCTTTTTTGATGGTTAAACCTCCCCACAACAATGGGGATTTGTTATTCAGATATATTCTTCCTTAAACTATCAAAACTTGAACAAAAAGGAGGAAAAGGAAAATCTATTTTCATATGTCACTTCCCTATATAGAAAAAGGATTGTTTTAATGTTTTGTGTAATGCTAAGCACTTGCATGTGGTAAATGTGATGTGTTTTGTTGGCTCTATCTTAACAGGAATTTTCTTGATCATTATGAATATGGCCACGGGATGTCTAATGTTATTGCACAAAATATTTTGGTTGATAGGTGAGATTTTCTAGTTTTAGTTCATCCACACTTGTATTATTTTTGAAAAATTTTAGTCTTTTCACTTGTATTATTTTTTTCCTTTCCTACACTCTCCTAGTCTCCTTTCTGGCTTCCCTCTTCACACTTCTGGGGCTATAGATTTTAACATACTTGTTTTTATTTTTATTTATTTTTCCGTTGTTTCTCTTCTTGAATGTTGGTCTATATCCATTACTGTAAATAGTGGGAAATGGGTCATCTGGACTATGTATATTTTGTTTTTTAAGTATAGTACTTTTCTAGTCAATACATATGTATATCCATTGCTACTTATTTGTTTCCTTTTAATGTTGTGTAGGTGTATACTTGATGGAGAAATGTTAGTTTGGGATTCGACTTCAAATCGGTTTGCTGAGTTCGGGTCAAATCAGGAAATAGGTTCTTATATTTTTATTTTCTTTTACCTGTATTTTTTTCATTTTCTGATCATTACTACTTGTGTATATTGCGTAATAACTATTAATCAATGGTTTATTTTAATTCTGTTTACAGCCAAGGCAGCAAAAGATGGCCTTGATAGTGACAGACAGGTTTTATACTGCACAGAACTTTTTTTTTATCACTAATCACAATTTTGGGGAATCTTTTCTTGAAGTTTGATGTATTTTCGGTTTTCCTTTCTCTTTGGTGCAGTTATGCTGTATCCTTTTATGCCTAACCTGAAGCAAGTTGCAGATCTTGCTTTCAGACATGTTGATATTGTTTTTTTTTATAAGATTTGAAGGCCTCATTAAAAACCTCCTTCATGATTAATGGGGCTTGTATAGAAGCCCCTTAATCAGCGGAAGGAGGAAAAGAGTGCCTTATATTTCATTATAGAAAATAATAATTACAACCATGGAAAATCTATTCCAAAAACCCTTACAACCATGAACAAACCCCATCCTAACAGGAACCAAACCAATCTGAAAATACCAACAACATAAAAATCATCCCATACAAGCCTTTGCTAAAGCATCAGCATCCATATTAGTGTCCTTGCAACCCATCTAACAACCCCCCCCCCCCAAATTCTAAGGCTATCAACTATGTCTCTAACAATAAAACCATATACAACTGGACATGAATCAACCTCATTGATCCAGTCTACTGCAACCCTGCTATCACTCTCAACAATCAGCCTATCTTTAAACCTCCCTTGAAAAGAAGCAAAGAAAGAAATGCCCCTTTGAATTGCTATAAGTTCCTTCAAAGTCGGAGGTCCCAAACCAATAGGCACCTGAAATGAACCTAGGATTACACCAGAATGATCCCTCAAAAGACCTCCAAGACCTGATTTCTTCCAATCACTGCTAATGGCTGCATCCACATTCAATTTAATGAAACCCATAGGGGGAGGTGACCAAGGGATTATAGAAGACTTTAAGAAATTATAGGTCGAATAAGAATCCCCTAATGAAGGATCAGAAATCAACGAGTCCATAGGAATAGAAATATCCTTATGATTTGTTAAGAACCAAGAAGCAAGCCTAACTCTTGTTAAGAAGAATAACTCTGTCTGATCAAGCTTCCCCCCTTCAAAAACAATAGAATTTCTGGTTTTCCAAATGGTCCAAATAACAGCCCCAGGAATGAAAGTCCATATTACAAAATTAGATTTCAACTCGTCCCACGCTAGAAGAAATTTTTTTGCATCTGCAGGTAAAGCAGAACTGAACCTCCAGAATTTTAGGAATTTGTTCCATACAGACCACGACAGCGAACAAGTAAAGAATAAATGTGAGGAAGTTTCTTCAACCTTTCTACAAAGAGGGCATAAAACATCCTCAATGCCTTGAACACCCCTTTTAACCAATTCGGATTTAACAACTAATTTATGAAGCACAATTTGCCACACTAAAGTTTCAACTCTAGGGGGAACCAATCCTCTCCAAACAATATTATTCCTGAAATGAACAACTTCTGAATCTGATGCACATCTCTTGACACAAGAACTGACTGTAAAAACGCCATCCCCACTGCCTTTCCAAATCAAACCATCACTGGAATCTTTATGTTGATATTGTTAATGGCCTGAAATAAATTTACCCACTTCTTGTAACATGTGAGCGTTTCAATTACCCTTGACTATGGGCTAGATGTTGCATTTGATGTTCTTTATGTTGGAGATACTAGTGTTATTCACCAAAGCTTGAAGGAACGGCATGAACTTCTTAAAAAAGTTGTGAAGCCTTTGAAGGGTCGTTTAGAGATTTTAGTGCCTAATGGTGGTCTCAACTCACATTGTCCTCCTGGTAAAGAATTCTAATATTACAATTGTTTTTCCTGGTTATTTTTAATATTTTGTCTTTTATTATTTGAACACAACATTTTCTTGGGAAAAATAATTGAAGATCAGGTCTAAGTATAGTTTATAACTTTATATAATTAGCAAGGATGTCTCCTTGTCATGTTTTAAGTCCATAACCACTATGGTTGGTATTAATTCATATTTTTTATTTGCAAAGGATGGAGTGCAGTCTAGTCACATAGTTAAAAAATGCAAATGGAATTAGAATTTGATGATTAATGATTCACTTGGTTCTGTCGCAATTTCTTTGGAAGAAGCTTCAAACTTCAGTTCCCATCTATTAGTCTTAATCTGATGGCTTGTTCAGTGTCTTATCCTACTGCAATTATTGGCCTCTGTTCGCTCGTAACATTCTCGACATACTATTATCTTCTTTTCAAAAAAAAATGTTGTATAACTTTAGGGATTTTTCCCATGATTATGTGTTGCATATTTTCTACTTATGAGAAGAACAGAAATGATTTCTACACTCATCTTGCAGGGGAACCTTGTTGGTCATCTCTTGCTCATAGTGTGAATGATGTTGAGAGATTTTTCAAGGAAACAATTGAAAATAGGTCTGTGTATATACATAGTATATATATAAAGTTGGATGCCTTTTCCTCAGTATATGCAGTATGTATCAGTTTGAAAATTTTCTTTTGTTTGGTTTTTTTATGGGTTCAAATAAATTGTTATCTCACTACTTATATTGCATTTCTGGAAATGCCCCTTTTAATACATGTTTGCTCTTGCAAATCTCTTGCAGTTTTTAGGTTCCATTCATGAATCTTTATTTGGTTCCATGTGACAATATAACTGTAAAAACAATTTATGTTGTAGTGTGCTGGCTCTTGGTTTCACTTACCAAGGAATCAAATCCCCTGACAACCTTATCTCCCTCGCCCCCTCTCTATGTGTATGTATATATGAAGAAATCAATTTATGATGATATTATAGCTTCTGTGATTGCTTAATGTCCCTTGCCAAAATCTGAACTTATTTTGAACGGTGTGGGCTTATTATGACTTTAAATAAATAGTAGCTTAGTTTTTTTCCTATAGCTATGGATATGCATTTGGTTTATTCTTTGCTTTTACTGACTCCATCGATATCTCCTCCATCTATATTATTATTTTTTTAAAATCTGACATGTTGTATTACTTATCATCTTAGGGATGAAGGAATTGTAATAAAAGACCTTAGTTCCAAGTGGGAACCAAGTGATAGAAGTGGGAAGTGGTTGAAGTTGAAGCCTGATTACATTCGTGCTGGTTCTGACTTGGATGTTCTAGTTATTGGTCTGAAATATTTATTTATGTTTTATTTCCTTTTTCTCCATGTAATGTTTGTTTCTCAATGTAAAATTTGCATTTTCTTGTACAAGTTTCAAGATTGTTATTTTTGTTTTTAGGAGGCTATTATGGCTCAGGACGTCGAGGTGGAGAGGTTAGTTTTGCATTCCTTTTACTTATTTGTTCTCCCTTTTTTCTTTCCTTGTTAACATTCTTATTTATATTTAATTTTTGCAGGTAGCTCAATTCTTAGTAGGCCTAGCTGATCGTCAGGACCCCAATGCTTATCCTAGACGGTAATATTTAGCAACTCTCTTCTCTCTCTCTAAGCTCGAAGTGTTCACCTATACTGATATTATTGAAATATTTCTTTTACTTTCTTGCTATGTTACTTTGAGTTTGGATGTGGGTGGTATGGGTATGTTCATTTTTTCCAAGTTTTTCAATGTATTTGGGAAATCCTTGGAGGTCATAACTGTGTATACTCATGTCTTGGTACGTCGTACGTGTTGGACATAGATACAAAAGCAGTTGTAGCTACATAGCTGTCTTCCACATGGTCATAGAAGCCTTTAGGATTGTATTTTTCTTATATATAATATCAATATGGATGGTCTGCTGAGCCTTGGTCCATACAAAATTTAGCTCTGTAATCTATATGAGCCCATGCCCATTCTAAAGTTTGAGACCTGGAAATCTTGTGCTCAGAGCAGTATAGTCCCTTGGGAGACTACAGATTGTAGTTTTTGTTATTCTCATTGTTTATTCTATTTATGACCTCTCTCTCTCGACTCCTCTGATCCTTTATAGAAAAAACAGTGGGTCTAAAATGCATAGAGGGCCAATATTTAGCCTTTTATCACTTCAGGTATGTACCTTTATGAGGTGGACAGTGCTGCATGGGCATGAGGCACTGGGCTGGCAACTTCTTGAGTTGAATGGACTCTCACCTAATTGGACCAATTCAAATACCTTGATAGTTTTACTCAGAAAACTGAACTTAATTAAGTTTTTTTGATGTTTGAACTCATTTCACTGAGTGGGCTCAAATAGCTGATATTATGCATCAATAGGCTTAGCGCAGTCATAATGTCCCTAAGAAGACACCCTGACAGTTAAAACTTGTCTCAAGTTCTTTAAATAGGCATGATCTGCCAGCTACCTGATCAGAGATCCTTTTCTTGCAGATTTTTATCTTTCTGCAGAGTTGGTACTGGGCTGACTGATGATGAATTGGAAACTGTTGCAAAGAAATTGAAGCCTTATTTTAGGTACATATCTGGTAATAGATGTTAGGAAGTGGTGGTACCTTCAAGGTTTCTGCGGTCTGCTTTGAATAGCCATTGAAATGAACGAAATAGATTTTGTGCAGTGACCGTAGCTTCCAGTTATTATGTCCTAAGAAAATAAAATCAACCTTCTTAATCATGTTTCACCATTTAATTTTATTTTTTAAAGGCTTGGTGTGACTTTGATCATCATTATTGAGTTGGTTAAACTCAAGATTATCAAAATGCAAGCAAATGCACATCAACTACATTGTTCTTGAACCAAACAACCAAAGATGAATTATTTAGCGTGCTGCAGTTAGGGGAAAACCCTTGATTGCTAATTACTTGGATTAGGTGGTTCCTCTTTTAATAGAAGAGACTTTTCTTATATGATCTACTTTGCTGTTATGTTGTGTCAGGAAATATGAATACCCAAAGAAGATGCAACCAAGTTTTTATCAAGTTACAAACCATTCGAAAGAGAGACCTGATGTTTGGATTGAAAGCCCAGAGAAGTTAGCATTTAACTTTTTGCTCTCTTATGATGGGAAAGTTCTAGTTTTTTTGGAGCACAACTTTTTTAATTTTTGTCTTTATGTCCTATTTCTTTTTACAGATCAATCATTCTTTCCATCACCAGTGATATCAGGACTATACAGTCTGAGGTGTGTATTTATAGCCCTTGTTACATAATATATTTTTTGGTCAGACAAAAGTAATAGTGCTACTATAGTATTGGGGTTATCCATTGCCTTTGTTTCGTTTAATTGTTTACTCCCGTTTTTTTCATTTGTGCTTATTTATGTTTCTCTTTGATTTTCCTTTTCTCCAGGTATTTGCTGCACCATACAGCCTGAGATTTCCACGTATTGATAGAGTGAGATATGACAAGCCTTGGCATGAGTGCCTTGACGTGCAGTGTAAGGGAGATATGAACTATTTTGCACCATGTAATCAATATCTACTTTTGGGGCTACTTACTTTTTCTCTTTCAATTATGTGGTTTTTCAGCATTTGTAGAACTGGTGCATTCAAGTAATGGTACCACTCAGAAAGAGACGGAACGGGAAAACCAGCATGATAGTAAAACAAAGCACAAGGAACGCCCAAGGAAGGCAGAGAAAACGAAGGTCTCCATTGTCCCTTCTCATTTTATTCGGACCGACACATCCCGCGTGAAGGGAGAATCCTTAGTATTTTCGAATCATATGTTTTGTATCCTTCAATGAGATTTGCTTAGCTGTTCTATTTTTCTTCTATTTTTTATGTGCGCATCTGCAGGCGTGCCTTCCCTTCTCTCCTTCACTGTATTTACCAGTGGTAGCTTAACTACAATTTCTTCGCTCCTCACTTCCCCGACTTTTCAAGATTCTGCTGCAGAATCTACTTTTGGTTTTAGTTTCGACTTTCCTTGACATGAGTAGACTTTGTTAATGTGCCTCCAACACATTCTCTTGATTCACTTCACAAAATGATTGTGGAGCTTGGGGGAAAGTTCTCAATGAATTTGAATAATTCAGTTACCCATTGTGTTGCAGCTGAAAGCAAAGGTGCTCTCTCCCTCCCTCTCTGTCTCTCTCTCTCACCATGCATACACACATCATCATCCCTTCCAATGCTCAACCATGTCTGCGTGTGTGTTTGGAAACACACTAGCGGCATGAATGTGGGCATTGATGCTCCCTAGCACCAGCACTTATCATGGCTGAATAATAGGGTTAACAAGAAAACCTGTCAGGGATCAAGTATAAGGCAGCAAAGCGGCATGGGGAAATTATTCATTACTCTTGGGTCTTGGATTGTTGCTCTCAGAAGAAACTCATACCTTTGCAGCCAAAGTAAGGCTTGGATTCATCGGATGAGAGTCCCCCTTCTTCCTTTTCTCTCGTGCGTCCCTCTATTCGCCTGATAATACCTTTTACCACATGTTTTCTTTTAAAGGTACTTCCTTTTTCTTTCCGAATCATCAAGGATGAAATTACAGCAAGAAGTTGATGAATACTCTGATCCTTACTATTGGGACCTTGATCTTGCAGATCTCAAACAGGTAAATTTATATTCAAGTAACTATTTCCCATTTAAATGTATTTGGATTGCTACATAAACTACCAATATGCATGGCAATGATGGACACAGAAGAAGTTAAGAAATTAATTTATAATAATAACCACTGATGTTGATTCCAAATTTGGTAAACTTATGATAGCTTTATGTTTTCCAGCTCTTAAACAATATCCAAAGGTCTGAGAACTCCAAGACAATTGACTATTACAGGGGGAAGTACTGTCCAAATGATAAATGGTCTCTGTTTCATAGCTGCTCTGTTTACTTCTACTGTTCACCTCAGTTTTTGTAAGATATATTGCCAATCATGACTCTACATTTATCTGGCTTATATGTCTTTATTGAGTGAATAACTTCTGGTACATTTCTTAGTTTGCTACATAGTTTTCTATTTTCTTTCTCATAGCTTGTAGCTTTTATCTAGGAAAGATGATTGGCAAGTCTTGTTGAAACTAGCAATGAGGAGATTAAAGCATGAAGTTTTAATGGGCGGTGGCAAAATAAGTGAGAATCTCAACCACGCTACCCATGTTGTAGTCCTCTCTATACCAGGACTGGATGTGGACATTGATTCTATTATTAAGAGGTAATATATGGCTAATACAATTTTTTGTTGACGATTAATGTCATTTGTTGTGCTAAGGTTCTTTCGACTAGTCTGTGGATCTAGGTTACCCTCATATCCTTACTCGTGTCAGAGAAAATAAAATATTGCATCTTGTGAAATTGAAGAACAATTAGTTTATTTGGTTGTTTTTCCTCTTTGGTGACATTAGCAAAAGTCCTTTGTCTTATTATGTGGCATTATATCAATGAAAAATGAATTTACATTAAATGATATTCAGGTAAAAACAATATTCTTTGTTACTTGGGATTGTAATTGGACCCAGTTTAATTCTTTTTTGTTGGCTTCTTTTTAGGTTTACGAAATTCATTAAAGCATGGTTTTTGTAAAACATTTGAGATATTTTCGAATATTAAAACTTGCTATTGGGATTTGGCAATTGAAATTTCATATTAATTCTTGGACGATTGTTTTGTTACTTGAAAAGGTATTGTTATTTGAGAAGTTCTTTCTTGATTGTGATTTAAAAGTTGCTTTGTTTCTTTGATTTTTTTATATATATTGTCTATATGGTTCTCACCACGAGGAATGTGTACTTGGATAGGCAAAAATGGCTAATTGAGATCACCCATTTTGGCATAGAATGGCCAAATCTCTTTCTATTTTTTTCTACTTGAAAGAGCTTATCTACAGTTCTCCATCTAAATCCAACGCTGGGTGTTTTGACTCTGTTCTTTCTGTAGTTCTTTTGAAGAGAAAAATCTTCTCTGGAAAAAGGGGCTCCATGTTTTGGGATCTCGGTGGTTGGAAAATTGCTTAGAGCATCGAAAGAAGTTGCAAGAAGACCAATATAGCTTGAAACCCTTTGATTTTGAAGAAACAAACTTCCTTGAACGGTTTGTGCAAATACACTTCCAGTTCTGTTGCCATTATGTACTTAAATACACTACTTCCTCATTATAAGCTAACTTATACGATTGTTGAATTTTTTTTACCGAACTTAGTTAGCACATATCTGTACCTGTATTAATCTTTGTTCGAGGCCATGCTCCCTTTTTTGTCCTCCTACGTGGATGTCGTAAATGATAATTGCTTTATGTTATCATTTCGTGCAGCAAATCGGACCGAGATCCGAGCAAGACCATGCCAGAGGTTACATCTGCTTCTCATGAATGTAAAAAAGAAGAGAGCGCAGCCAAAGATCACTTGGAAAAATCAATTTCATTGGTTACGCCTGATTATGGGAAAAGGAAGAGAAGACCTGCTAGCAAGAACACAAACAAAGGGAAAGCCGTTGTAAGCCGAGCTCCGAGAGTACCAAGACGTCGTGGAAAGATGTCTGTTAAGATTAATGAAGACGGGTCTGAGGAAAGTGATTCTGATGACAAAACAAACGAGGGGATAGAGAAGGATGAAGAGAACACCGAACACAATGGAACGGCCGGTGGGGAAGATTTCGAGTTTCATCAAAATCAAGTAGCAGAAGAAAACGCAGGCATAAAGTGGCCTGATAAAGTTTCTGATACTGTGATGTCTGAAACAAAGGACGATCGAGCAAGCATAAAATGGCCTGATAAAGCTTCTGATACTGTGATGTATGAAACAAATAATGACCAAGGCAGCAAGAGTGATGACAAGTTCGACTACGTTGAACCGGATGAAGGGAATATGCGCCATGAGACTTCAAAGTCGGAAAAGGTAGTACTTATGTCTGATCCAGTTCAGGCCATGTTACTGGACATGATCCCAAGCCTTGGAATAAAGCAAGTTGAAACTACGAATTCCGTTGTCGAGAACGAGAAACCACGTGCAGATAATGATGCTAAGGTTTCCGTTGTGGAGGATGAGAAGGGAGATGCCGACATTATCGCACCGACACCAAAGAAGAAGAAAGTGAGTTACAAGGATGTTGCCGGAGAATTACTCAAGGATTGGTAAAACATTGTATTTTGCGTGGCTTTTGTACATTACCGTCTTATGCATTACATAAATCCCGAGACCATACCTAGCAGTTGTGTTGTTCCAACCTTTTGTACATTAGTTTCTTGGTTAAAATAAACGTAGTATCTAAATTATTATTATTTTTTTTTGTCTATTTTAGTATTTTAACTTTTAATTTTTTTCTAAAATTATACTTAAAATTTAGTTTTTTTTTGTTTTAGTATTCTATCATTAAAAACTTTAATTTTTTTGTTTTGTTTTAATATTCCATTTAAAATTTAACATTAAGTTTTGAAAAAATTAAAAGTTTATATATTAAAATGGATCAAAATTAATGGTTTAGATACTAAATATATTAAGTTTTTAACCGTGAAGTATTAAAATGAAATGAATTAAAGGTTAGGTATGATTTGGAAAAAATAGAAGTTTAAATATTAAAGCGGATTAAAATTGATAGTTTAGATAGTAAATGTGTAGTTTACCCTAATTTCTTTATACTCTTAATGAGACGTTAATTAACTTCGTTAGGTTTATCTTATTTACAGCTTAAAGCATTCTTTTACGATCAAATCATATCGCAATTATCTGTATCATTATATACGATTTAATAAACAAATTATATATGATTATTATTTTCTTCCAATGATTTACATTTTAATTCATATTTAAGTTTTTAGGAGAATAATCGAATTTGTTATAATATCAATTACTAATTTTATTAAAACGTAAACTTTAATCAAATAAATTTAAACGATTCAAAGACACAAACTTTAATCGAATGTAAAGATAATATCAAATCCAATTTCAGAAAAAAGGGAAGACATATTACAAGAAGAGACAAATATCATGCTTTAAGAGCGGCCATAATCAGCGACTACTTTTATATGGAAAAAAAAGTTAATCGAATAAAACAAACTAACATAATTTAAACATGCAAAAATAAAAACATGATAAAATTATGAAAAAGTATCGAGACTTTCAATAATTTAAAATGTTGCCACATAAAAATTAGTTGAATAATCTATCTATGTATGTATATATATATATACATACATATGAGTTAAGAACCAATTATATAGTGTTAAACTAATTTTTTTTTAAGATTGTATGATGAGAGAAAATCAAAGACCGAGATTAACAATATAAAAATAAGAAGATATTCCAAAAAAAAAAATAAAATAAAATAATCAAAACCTTACCAATTAATTTTCTTTGGTTTCTTACTATCGGAAACGAAAAGCATTTCCCTAATGCCATTTTCCCCTCCGTAATTCGTTTATATCCGCTTATTGTAGCTACCGTCATTAATCATTTGGTAAAAATTTCTTCTATGCATTTTTTATATATAATTCAAGAATAACTAATAATTATTTGGTTTACGAAGAAGAACTCATCTATATCATTACAAATAATGAAAAATTTGTTGTATCAACAAATAAATACACTCAAAGAATTAATAAGCACTGATATATATATGTGTAGACACTAATTTTCATCGACATATTTTTTTCTTTCCTTTAATGTACATTTATATATATATATATATATACATATTTTGAAACTACATATATAATATATAGTTTTTAAAACTATATAATATATAGTTTTTAAAAAAACATTTTAGAAAACATATGTAATATATAATTTTTAAAATCATTTTGAAAACTTATATATATAGTTTTTGAAAACATTTTTGAAAACATATATATTATAGTTTTGAAAACATTCTGAAAACATTTATATATTATATAGTTTTTAAAACGTTTTTGAAAACTTATATAATATTTTTGAAAACATGTTGAAAACATTCGTATATTATATAGTTTAAAAAAACATTTTGAAAATTTATATATTATTTGTTTTTGAAAATATTTATGTATACATATATTATTTATTATTATTATTATTATTATTATTATTATTTGGTCTTTTCCAGGTCCAAGTCCAGAGTCCATTTTTTTTAGTCCAACACAGTCACAGTTCCAGCCCACAGGACAGGCCTGATCCAGCCTCTTGGAGTTTAGGGTTTGGGAACCCTAAAACATGTTCAGTCACCACACCGCACGGGAGTCCAAGGGTTATGGGCGAAACGACCGACCGTTATCCCGCGACTGACCCATCACGGGATGGCCGGTCAACCACGAACAGAGCACTCCACAATATCCGGGATTCACAAAGGCCGATGGGGGTTATAAAAACCCACGACCAACCATCACAGAAAAAGAAACCAACAGTGAAGGTACAACCACGATACCCACGGCCAACCATCACAAGAGGGTGCACAGAAAGCCATCACAAACAAACCAGCGTCGAGAATCACAAAGCCAAACACCATAGGACACCGGACCAAAAAACCAATAGTGAAGATACAACCACGATACCCATACGGCCAACACACAAAACAATTGAAACATACAACATCCACACAGTAAACAGAGGGTCAAAACCAAAAAAAAGAACCAACAGAGAAACTATCGATCCACAAATATCACAAACAAAGTGCAAAGCATTATACAACAAGAGCAAGCCCAAAAGTCAAAGCAAAACGAAAAAGCAAGAGTCATCAGAAGTGATATAGTCGTCGGAAAAGGGTAAAAGAAACCGAACGGATTTTTAGATCTACGCTGATTCGTGGTGTTTTCGGGGATTTTGGCCTCAGATTGTTGTTGAGACTGTAGAGAAAAGCATTTGGGGAAAGTTTAGGTATCTCGGGACGCGGTAGAGAAGCCACCGGGAAGTGGCTGAATATCTCCGGGCGAGGAGACTTGAGAGAGGTTTTGCCTCTCTAAACCGAAGAGGGAGAGGGTTTTAGCGTGAAATGTGAGAATGAAGGGGAGAGAGTGTCTTTGGCCCATTTATATACGAGGGACCATTTTGCAAATAGAGGATTTTTAAATCCTCTCCGTCGTCCCTCATACTTTGATTCGCTTTGCAATTCGGTCACCAGTTGTAATTTGGCCACTGGATTTTCAATTGATTCAAATCGGTCCCCCATTTATATTTCACATTTTTGCAATCTGACCCCAAAGTCTTATTTTACGTATTATTAGCATGTTTTAATTAGTACTAACATTGTTTATTTTCACTTCATATCGTTTTTATTTTATTACTTTTGAAATATTTTTTATTTTTTATTTTTTTATTTTTTTATTTTTATTTTTTTTCTTTTTATTTTTCTTTTATTTCTTTGATTTACTTTGATTTACTTTTTTAATCCTTATTTCTTTTTTCCCTTTGATTCATTTTTATGTTTTTATTACTATTATATATATATATATATATATATATATATATATATATATATATATTCTATCTAATGTTCTTTCTTTTTCAGTAATAATCTCAGTCGATCAAAGGTAAATTGTTCGAATCGAATGTTTTAAATTTCGATTTAAATTTTCAATTTTCGCATTCAAAGATAACCAGAAAATTAATTGGTACCGAAAGGACGGTTCAAGGGTGCTAATCCTTCGTTGACTGTAACCGACTCTCGAGCCCTACACGTTTCTGGTAAAACGCAAATCAGGTAAGATGGTATCCGACCCACCTAAATTTGTTTTAAAGTGGTCGGTGGCGACTCCTAAGCATTTAATCCAAGTCGAAGCCCAATTCTGGGGTCCAACCGAAAGACGGTTCCGACAATATACCTTACAACTCATCAGTGCATGGTAATGTCGAATAATCATCGAGGCAAATTAACGGTAATGATGATGATGAATTTCTAGTACAAAGAAATTCGAGGCATGACGACAACCACGACGACGTAGGACTCGTAAATATATGAATAGGAGTAATTTTTATTAGAGAAATTTTAAGTTGTATTTTTAATGTTTCATTTTAGTAATTTTCCCATTTTTTATTAATTTTAATATAGAATGATATTTCTATTTGAAAAGAATAGACTTGGTATTATTTTTAAAAAAATATAAATACGAGCTTTTGGTTCGACGCGTGGATTCCCGGCCTCGGGCCCTTAGCTGAGCTGGTTCCACCGTCCCAGATTCGAGCACCCCAGGCCACGGTATATGCATTTACAATCCAGAATAGAGGCTGGAACTTTGAGAAGCTTAAACTTACCCTTGATGAGGATCTAATTCAATGGATCCGTGGAATGTCGTGGCCGAGTGATGAGTTCGGGGAGGACCTTCCTCTGTGGCGCCACCAAGCTAATGGCCGTTGTACGACTCATTCGGCGACTGCCATCTTGCGTCAGGAGGATCAATCTTTAAACGACAAAATTTGGGACCTCACGTGGGGATTCAACGGCCCCTAAAGGATCAAACAGTTGCTGTGGCTTATTCTTCACCGGCGGTTAATGACCAATGTTGAGCAAACCAGACTGGGCATAAGCAACAATCCAAGCTGTCCGAGATGCGGGGCCGTCGAAGAGTCCACACTCCATGTGCTCCGAGATTGTTACCAAGCCTGGCATATTTGGAATCAATTGCTTCCTCACCAGCTTAAGTCGTCTTTCTTCTCCTCTCCTACTGTGTTAGATTGGTTGCAACTTAATCTTGTAAATTTTACAGGCACTAGTTCCGAGGATGGTGTTGGAAGCATCTTTTCTGGACCCTCCTCTGGAAGCTTTGGAAAAACCGCAACGATTTCGTCTTTAATCGGAAGATCTGGGCTATATCGGATACTATCCAGGCGGCTAAAGAGTGGTCTTTTATCTTCGGTTATTTCTTCTCCCGAATCTATTTCCCCTATTTCAGATAACATTCTTTTATTTGTTTCACGACTTAACAAGTACCTCCTAAATTCATCCCAAGTTATGTCATATACTAAACCGAGATGAATTGCTTGTAAGGGGTTTATTCGTCCAACCCCAATTGCAATAATATCTCTTTCATTCCTATCTTCCATAGGTATTGTTGTCATGCAAAAAAATGAGTATAACTCTTTCTTTTTTAAAAGATCAGATTTACACGTTTCGATGTAAGTCTCAATCAGCCTTCCATCTTCTTTACCTAGAAAAAAAGTTCTTGAATTTGGAACGCACACTCAATATCAACATCATGAGTGTGATCAAAAAGAAAAACCCTACTACTTTTCCTGTTAAATTACCAGCCAGTGGACATTCCGTG